ACGTGAGCCCCGTTATGCATATATTCTTACGGGTCTCAGGGCTCATGTCTTAATGCCTTTAGTCCCGTTTGGCAGAAATACGTCCAGATGTGCCCAGAAAAATCCACAAATGGAGTAGGACGAGCAAGGTGAAAATCGATTTTGTCATTTAAAACACATAAGGTAAGTCTGCCAGACCCCTGCTCACAAATAAAACCGAAATGCACAAGTATGCTCGTTGCCAGCTCGAGCAGAAACAATGTGAGATCTCCCGCTTCGTGTTCGAATTTTTACACATTTTCTCTTCAAATCGGCCTCCACGACAGGCGTTCACAATCTTAGATTGGCGTGTTCCGTAGTGATTATTAAAATTCGCTTCTCTTCTTTCACCCTGTTTGTTCTTCTACACGTGTCAGACTCAGTTAGATTTCAACCGCGACCTCCACTTTCCCCCCTCTCCATCCACACTGCCACCCTTAAGGTAGTTTAGAAAGTTGCCAAGTTGGGTGAGAAATTCCAAAATTTCTGCAGGAATATGCGAGGATTATGGTTAATGGGCGTTTCAATACCTTGAGTATATCTTGTCGGTCCTCTGACGCACACTGGACCGAATCAATAGAAGGAGTCGGACAAAATTTGGAAACTTCACGGACAAAAAAATTTCGTGCGTGGGACCCGAAGTTGAGGTCATATGGATCTCGGAAATTTTCGGGTCACGTATCTAAAAATTTGAGGTCCAGCTGCCGAGGTTCGGGTCAGACATCTGAGGCACTCTGGTACATACCGAAGTGTCTCAATGTCTTGTCCCAAGTTTTTTCCTCCATGTTTAAACGTTTATAACTCTGTTTTTACAAAATTTTGAAGTTCGATAAGTGGTTTTATTGGTTTCTTCGTGAAATTTTCTTCAAGAAGCACCCCTTAAAGTTTGAAATGGGACGAAATAAACATAAAAATTTGCAGTTTTAGTAAAAAATTTCATGTCCGATCCCTCTGATTGACTCGATCCACTGTGTGAGGTAAGGGCGTACCTGTATCTCCTTGTGAGCCACGACAAAGGAGCACAGGGTTCACGTACAGACACTGATGCGCTTTTACGTCAGAGGAGCGACGATTTACAGTGAAAGAGCCTCAGACAATGTATTTTAAAGACACCGCACTGATATCTCCCTCTCTTGGTGTAAAAATAACTTTCGGTACTGAACGATCAGGTTCGCGCAATGATGACTGATGACCAAGGAACACCTTGGTCATCAGAACCAATTGTGCGACAGAACAATCCTAAAATAATTTTTAAAAACTCGCCTAGCAAAGTACTCACTCTGACAGGCATCAGTGATAATTTGGAACTTTCGGAAGTCAACGCTCAGGTTTACCCAATGAAGGGATGACCAAGGTGATGGTCAATTGGTTTATCGATCCTAAAATAATTTCAAAAAACTCGCCTAGCAGATCCTGGAGGATCCAGTTTTGATTAACTCAGCCATCTGAGATACCCAGGATTCAAAAAAATGACAGATATTGCATGGCGATGATTCAAAACGAAATTACATGAGGTCTTATTTACTTGTCTCACCGTGAGCGTGAGCACTACTTAAATTATTACGAGCCGTCGTATTTCCTTAATTTTTCGACTAACAGATGCTTTAAAATTTTATACGCTCTCTGGGGAAGTCCTCTGGACCCCCCTTACGCCCCCCTTCCCCGTTAGAGATGTCTGGACGCATAGAGGAAAAAAAGGAGGTGTTTGCATCTTGAGGTTTGTTTATCATGTGACGTAGGTCGGTACAACCTGGCCAGCGAAATCCGGAATTCGAAGTATGAAGAACGGACCATAATGTCCGATTTTTTTGCTTTAATCAACGCATGATATAATTTCAAACACTCTAAGTGGAATGCATTTTTGCCATAAACTACACCATTTCCAAGAAAATCTATGATATAAGTCGCCGTACCGACCTACGTCATCAAAAAAATTCCAAGATGCCCGAAATGCAAACGCCTCCTTTTTTTTCTCTTTAGGCCTCGATAGACGATTAAATTCCGAACCAATTCCGATCAAAGTAGACATGCTGATGACTGGTGGTCACCATCTACCATCAAATTTTGACGGGCCGCACTTTTTTGTTCAAAGTAAGATTAGACCGGAGTACCACCATTCATCATTCCCTGCCACAGGAAACATTTCTGCCAAGTTTTCATTTTAAAATGAAGCAAATTAATGAGTTTAGGACTGATGACTCCCGACACTTTGATGCTGCTTTGATCGGAATTGGTTCGGGAATTTGATCGTCTGTCGAGGCCTTTTGGTCTCGACCCACCTATGAGGTATACTTAAGTTTCACCAGTGACGCAAGTGTAGAAAGGTGAAATTCCCACAGCAACTGGCAACCGGGCGTTATGAATCTTGGCATTTCCTCTTTTTACACTTGCTCGGGAGCCTTTTGCCGGTTTGGCAGTTCGCACGGAGGATCCCGGGCTCGCGAGTCGCGACTATTATCCTGTACCAATCGCAGGAGACCACCGCGTCCGACTCCGACTCGGCCGATCGTATTTTTCCGTTGTCTGTTCCTCCTCTTCACCAGTCGACGTCTGTCCCGATATATTGATTGCTCCCCGAGGCTCGTATACTCCACAACTAAGAGTTATCCCGGAACGGGGGACCTTGATTTTCGATGTCAAGATAAGAGCCCCTCTTCAACGCTCGTCAAGCACGGAAACTAAAATAGTTACTCATTGCCCCCGCTCTTGAAATAGAGCTAGAGTCATATCAGAGCCTTTGTAACTTAAGCAGCTTTTCCGTAATAAAAGGGTGTCGTTGAGGGTCAAAATCAGCTCAACGCAGTGAGAAAATACATCTCCGAAAAAAACAAAAAACAAAATAGCACGGAAAGAAATAGCATGGTTGCACCGAAAAAACAATAAGTGCTGTAGTAACAACCCGGATATTAAAAAAATGTGCGACAACTCTTGGATGTTGTCATTAACACTCTGCTGTTAAATGAAGATGTTGCATGTGTGAGGAATTTGCGATTTGACTGTCGATTCTTATGCAAAAGTTCGCGAGAAACACGATGGTTTTCTCTGAAATCAACTCCCAAGCTCATAAAAAGTTGAGGCCAAAATGGAGGGAATATCCCTCGCTACCCTAAGAGTCCACGTCTACATCAAAACAAACTCTCCATGCAAAGATAGGGAGCAAATACATTGACAGGGCTGCCACTTTATTCGGGGACTCTAAAACTGAAAACACGGCATCACTGCTAATGTATTTGCTCCCTATCTTTGCATGGAGAGTTTGTCTTGATGTAGAGGTGGACTCTAAGGATAGCGTGGGATATTCCCTCCATTTTGGCCTCAACTTTTTATGAGCTTGGGAGTTGATTTCAGAGAAATCCATTGTGTTTCTCGCGAACTTTTACAAAAGAATCAACAGTCAAATCGCAAATTCTTCACACATGCAACATCTCCATTATATAACATCCTAAGATGTTACTTTTGCACCTTAGAATGTTATTACTTTAACAGTGTTAATGACAGCATCCAAGACATTTTTAACACATTTTTTTTCGATGAATCGAAGGGATTCAATGATCGGCTGAAATAAATGATTTCTTTAAATATGGAGCTTCTACCACCGAAGAATGATTGGAATTAGAGAAGTCTAGGCTGAGGAAAATTTTAGCCCTCGGGTGGAACCAATGATGCCCCCTAGTGACATTCTCTCTTTCGCGATAATAACGGCAATGATCTTAGTTATGTCTAAATAGAAAATTCAAGCTCATAGAGAGCTTCTATACTTGTGCCCTGGTAAAAATTGGCAGTAGAAGCTGTGTTCTAAAATACCATAGACCTACAGCCGGCTGTAAGATTTCCAATAGCTTCTATAGCCGGCAACACAATTTCTTATGGCCTTTTATAGCCGATGGCGATTAAGCAACAGCCTGGCGATGTACGCTAAACGTTACTAATTACGGATGCTAGGACTTAGTGTGTTTTTGGACAACCGCTCTCTTTTTGGGCCGTAGTATCTTGATTTATTTTGCGATGAAAGCTCCGTACTTTTGAAGGATGCCTGCCATTCCTAACATGTTGGAGCGCCTGCAATATCGTATGATACTTTGCAATACCTCTGGTGTGAAATAGTTGCTTCAAGCGCCGTGGTACGCTGCGGCGCGGCGCGGCGGGCGGGCAGCCAGCGCGAGACGCGCATTGGCGCCTTCAAACCTAACAGGGATACTTCACGCATTGCGCAATGCGTGAAGTATCCCTGTTAGGTTTGTAGGCGCCAGTTCGCTGCCGCTCCGCTTTGTGTTAGGCTCTAATATTTAATCTCGTGTGGAGCCAGCGTTTTTCAACTCATGACTTTGAAATGTTTGCACACTCTGTATGGATTATTCTCATTTTAATTGATGAAAAAAAATATGCAGTAAAGGAAAATATAATGTGCGTTTTGTAAATATTAAGGTGATTCCGTACAAACTTAAGGGTTTCCAAAGCACACGAATTTCTACACAATTTCTTATAGCCTTGTATAATCGATGGCGAAAAAGCAACAGCCAGTCGATAAAGTGTAAAGCCCGGCGATAGGAGCTACAGCCCGGCTATATAATTTTTTATCGCTTCGTGTAGCCCGGCCGTATGATTTTTTCCACTTTTTACAGCCAGCTATATGATTTTCTATCGCCTTCTTCAGTCGGCTATAAGAACTCCTATGGTATTTTGAAACGCAGCTCCTATCGCCAATTTTTACCAGGGTGGACATAATATTATCCTCTAGGTAACTCGCTTGAACGGATGAAGAACAAACAGTTTCTCGGTAGTGGGCACCTACAAACAAGAGAATGCAATTTCAACACATACTCTATTTAAAAATGCAAGAGGAAAAATCGCGCCCTATTCTGTTCATCCTTTACGATTGCTAATAAATTGGAAGAAAATGGGGGGGGGGAGTTTTACTCTGATTAGTAATCAAGGTTACATTCCTGATCTTTAGGACTTTATGATGTATTACAAAGTCTTACCGAGTCACCAGTAACTGAGTCAGAATCATCATTTCTTCCATTTGTAATGGTCGGGTTTTCTTCGACTGTCTCAGCTTCCATTTTTCTTTCTTCTCTGATTTTCTTGACAAAACAAATTACCGCGATATTTTCTCAAGGAGTTTGGTCATTCGGTTATACTTTCAGATTTTCAGATTCGCAACGAGTTCATGTAATTCTCTTGTTAGGTCATCACTCGTCTCTAAAGTTTCACTGATTATCTCAAATCAAATTTTCTCCACTGGGTCTCATCTTAGTTCTAAGTGTCGTAAAGGGTCTATAATTATTTTCTAGTCAGTCTTTAGGAATGCATAGAGTTTTTTTTTCTTACGTTGATACAATACCTATTACAAATTACAGTTCTAAGGTTTTTTTCTTGCTAAAAGAAAAAAAAACAAAAAACAAAGATTATTAGAGTTGGAAAAACACTCTAAAAATCATGCAATCGTGTAAGAAATCATCGACAAGATTCAAACTTTTTTGTTTTCGTGTTTACAAAATCTGTTTGTCATATAAAAAAGAAGTGTGAGAAAAATAGTGTAAAAACCCATGCGTCCATACTTGCCAAAAATGAGTAGGTACGAAAAAGTTGGGTGAAAATGCTGGTTTGGAAAAATTAAGCGTGTCAAGCAAAAAATGTGCTATGAAAAATTTTAAAAATCTTTTAAATTTATAGATATAAATAACTACCCCTCAACGATTATATTTTTCGTAGTTCTTTTCTGCCTCCTGAAGAAGACTTAAGTTTCGCCAAATTGCAAAAAAAAATCGAAGAAACTCATTTAATCTTTTACCAGGATTTGGTAAATACATTGTGTTAAAAATTGATCAAACTGACAAACGAAACAGCCAAAAAATTGGAGGTACAACATTCTGAAATGAATCCAAAAATTGGGCTCTTTTTCACTGTTCCACTTCAAAATTGCTGATAAGAATTTCTCGTATGAAAAATTATTTTTAACCTACAAGAGCTAGCCTGCTAGTTTTCACGGCGATCCAATAATTCTGTAAACCCCGCTTTGTCGCGATAACGAGCAATGTTTACGAATGCGAGTATTTCGACACACTAAAGCTATTTTTGCCTGATCACTAAATTGAAGGGAAATAACTCTCGGTGGCACAAACTGTGCAAACAAAAATAAATTAAAATAAAAATCGAAAATATTGGGACCATGTACGTTTTTCGATCCTGGAAACCGTCCAGAATTGAGAAAACACAAATTCCAGGGAAAATGATGAAATTTATTTTCCGACTTTTTCCACCCTGAAATGTCCCATATTTTAAATTTTCGCCCTCTCATTAATTAATGTTTAAATATCTGTTTTTTATAGAATTTTAAAAATTGGTTATGCTACCAAAGTTGTCTGCTGGCCACTTTGTAATACATCCGGATGGAATACATACAAGAAATAAAGAACGAAGGAGAGAGAATAAGGGCAAATCTCGCAGCGATTCGACAATTACGGCTCATACCTCAGCAAACTCCGTGTCGGAGCGAAAGGTAAAATCTGAGCTGACTACGGTTGAGACAATCGATAAAAAAGCCTCTCCGTAAAACAATAAAAAAAGAGTTAAAAAGCGAGACGAACGGGCTCTGTCCCTGCGTCTTCATATCCCGGCCGATTGTTCGGGCTAGGGTGACGTCACAGCCTAGTTTGACTGCCTTCTGTCACGCACGAACTCAATTCTAGTCAATCCGGGCTTTTATCGAATTCCAACCGAGGGTGCCTACTATTTAGACCGCTACAGCGTATCGTGTCCTGGCTTCTCATCTGAAGTTTCCGAGGGGATCCTAAAAATCTTCCTTAATATCTCGGATTCGGCGTTGCCGATATCGTGTATAACTAGTTAGGCAGCAGCCACCCGTCTTATGGTTTTTTTTTTTTTTTTTTTTTTTTTTTTTTTTTTTGTCGTCAACTTTTAGGGGGAGTTTTTTAGGATTGGGCCGGGGTGGCTACCGCCACCTAGAATCATTCTTCGCGTTAATTCGCGCATTAACATTCCTTCATTCCGTCTGTCTCGGGGGTTGAGTATCGCAGTATCTTTTTACGGATCTTTTTCATCACATATTTCGACCCTCCACTTTCCTCCTCTTCCGTTTTTTGTGAATTGGATGAATTTGTCTACAATCAGCGTATCTGAATTTCACATCACCTCTAAATTCCTCCAATGAATTTTTGTGAAAAGGGGAATTGAACAACAAAACGCCTTGAAACTCTTTCTTTCCTCAGATTATGAAGGATGTAGTAACGCAATTTCAAATCAGGATGTCGCTCAGTTTCCTTGTGAAGAAATAAATGCATGAAAAAAGTATACAACGTTAGATGTGGTCAGTTTGGATTCTCATTTAATCCGTTCAATAATATTATGGTTTTTTCGTTTTTTTTTTTTTTTGTACATTGCATCATATTGTCTTTTATCGTAAATTGGTTGGTGCCGTAAAATGTATTTCTTCCGTGTAAATAACATTTGAATGGACTACTTAGTGGCGCCAATTTTCTTATTCATTTTTTGAAAGCGCGGAGTAAACTGATCTTCCAGGAGCTTTTTCGGATTGTTTTAAACCCTATAATTCAACCGTATAATTTACATTTCTACTCTCTTGTAATTTATTGTTCATTTAAGTGCCTATTATTTCGTTTTATTTCTTGCCTCTTCTTTATTTTAAATCTTTCTCTAATAATTACCGATTTCCTAATTACAATCCTAGCTCAAGCATACTTTAAGCATGCGATCACAACTGCAAGAATGTTAAAGGTAAACCCACAAGGCCAGGGTGGAGGCTACCTCAATCTTAATCTTCCGTCGCACTGGTAAGGCGCAGCGATACAACTATACGTACTCTCCGGAAAGCGGGAGGTATCTCGCCGCAATTGAAGGCGTTTTCAAAACAGCGTAGTTTCAGCATTAGAATCCTCGCGTCGCGTAAAGTTTGGATCAAAAGATCAATTAAACGATCAATTCTACGCGCTAATTCAACAGTATTGCGGACAATGTTCAATGTATCGCTTTTGTTCCTGTTTAAAATAAGCGTGTACTTGGCCCGAGACGTCCTCGATATTTCTTCGTTCTATTTATGACGATCAAAATCCCGTTTTGAAAATGACAAAAATGGGACCAGTTTGGGATAATATTTTTCGCTGGATAATATTTTTTGGGATCTGATCAGAAAAGGGGGGGAGCGTCTGCTGATTGGCTGAACTTGCCTGTACAAACTGTGCTTTACTAATGAATGAAGAATAATTATTATTTAAAGAAAAACGGTTTTGAAAATATTGTTCAGTTTTATCGCAAAAGAAATCTTACACTGTTTTCAAAACATTTTCAGGATATTATCGAGGATTTTATTAAATGATTCCAGAAGTATTTATCATTTTAGTGGAGTTTAGCAAATTCAACCCCTGTTTAAAAATCCACTCAGTCTGTTGATATTATCCCCATGTTCATCTCGTAAGTTTGATAAGTAAACAAGGAAGCTCGCTGGAGATATACCCTCGATAATTTTGTTGAACTTATCGATTGAGACACTACCAGGGGGGGGNCGAACGGTGGCGCGGTTCTCGTCCGCACCGACCGACTGACCTTGAATGTGACCGTGCGAGCAGGGATAGTTAACATAAATATTAAATTCAGCACAACCAACCCCTTGAAATCATGTAGGTAAGTACCGTCACGTCAGCCATTCAATTGCGGAATGCTTGATATTCCTCATGCAAATTTCATATGCTTCCTGCCTTGGGAGACTAATTAATTTTGGGGAGAATGAGATGATAAAGGACCTACCCTACCCTAGCTCCCTAGCCCCCTAGGCTGAACCTACCCTATGAATGAGAAATATTTCTAGGGTATTATCTGGATTGCCAAGACGTTTTTGAAGGGAATATTACTGAGAAAAAGTTTTTAAAATTATTTCTGAAGATTTTTTGTTTTGTTTTTAAACGCGCAAAAGTAGGAATTTGCTGTTCAATTGCGGAATGATTGATATTCCTCATGCAAATTTCATATGCTTCCTGCCTTGGGGGACTAATTAATTTTGGGAAGAATGAGATGATAAAAAACCTACCCTACCCTAGCTCCCTAGCCCCCTAGGCTGAACCTACCCTATGAATGAGAAATATTTCTAGGGTATTATCTGGATTGCCAAGACGTTTTTGAAGGGAATATTACTGAGAAAAAGTTTTTAAAATTATTTCTGAAGATTTTTTGTTTTGTTTTTAAACGCGCACAAGTAGGAACGGTAAAATAGAAAAATGGATCATAAATGAACCGCGTTTAGCAGGTTGGAACCAAGCCAAATCAGCTGTTGCCAAAATTAACTGAGCAATTTAAGTTTTTTACAAGAGAAAGTTTGTGCGGAATCCTTTGACAATTTTAAGGAATTTGCTTCGCACTATGCAGAAAATTCACTGACCTTTTCACAAAAATCCGCACGACCGTTTTCATGTAAAAACTTAAATTTCCCAATTAAATTTGGCAATGCCTGATGTGGCTTGGTTCCTCTCTGCTAAACGCGGTTCAAATTGGATCTCATTTTTCAGGCTATGAAAGAATAAAAAAATGCAATGACTGTAGAATAATGATGATGAAAAATTGACGTGTTTTCCGACATAAATTTCTGAGAAAGACGAGAAGGAGGACGAGGAGAAGGTGGACAGGGGAAATAGGTAAGAACAGGGGAGAGAAGAGGAGGGGGAGGAAAAGGATGAGGGGGGAGAGGAAGAGGGGCTACTGCGGGGAGGGAGAGGATTAGGAGTAGGTGGAGGAGGAGAAACCTTGCAAAAAAAAAACTTTTTTGAACTGTTTTACAAAATGAAATAAATAAATTGAAACATTTTGCGTGATTTTTGGTCTAATCATGATGCAAATACCGAATAAGCATTGACAAACGTTTATTAGTTTCTAAAGATGTTCTGCCGATTTTATCATTTTATAAATTAAATCATTTATCAGATTCCATTTAAAAATATTATTTTATTTTAACTTTATAGAAATATTTGTTTTTCTTTGATAGCTTTAAACAATTGGCTAGTTTCGGAATATTCAAGTGTAAGTTTTTACAGTCAATGTGATTGGAGCTTTCAAGAAGGTAGGTTTTCCAAGTGATCTGCAACTTATGGCCTACAGTCAAAACTTTGCAAAATTATCAAATATTAAGTTTAAATGTAATAAGGACTCGTGTTCAACAGGCAGATAAAATAAATGAATATATTACTGTTGGTAATGATCTAGTGAAAGGAAACCCCCTTTCAAGGTTGTGTAATTGGTTTACAATCGAGGCGGCTCTGTTTACTAATTGTAAAAGTTGGAACTTGAAAATAGAGTTGAGAAGGCCAGAGAAAGTTTATGCGGTGCTAGGTGTCTCACGAAACACTCTGTAACTATTAGTTTGACTTAAAATTCTAATTAATTTACTCTGTACTTCCCTTCCTCGCTCTTCTCCCCTCGCTCTGCCCTCTAAAGTAATTTATCAATTTCGTTTCCTCTATCTCGATTCATGACTGCCGAGCTAGACTTTTAGTTTTCTTTCCTTCCGGCTACCACCATTGATACATTCCCCAGAATTTCAGGTGCTGTTAAAAAGTTGGACGTGTTTCTACCAAACGGAGCTATGTGCATTAATTCATGAGCCCTTAGACCCATAAGAATATACGTATAACAGGGCTCACGTTATAATGCACATAGTTCCGTTTGACAGAGATACGTCCAATTGATGCTTTTCAAACCCCTGCACGACAAAATTTCTACATTTCAACGCACCCAAATAGGGAATAAATGTGTCAAGTTTACAGGAAACTATAACTTTTTAGCACTTTTTACAATCGTCACCTTCCCGCCGTGCGACGTTTCAAAATTCCCGCCGCCATTTTATATTGTACAGAGAAATCGCTGGTTGAATCTGCTTGAAAATGTCACTGAAATTTATCGGCAGCGCAAAGAAAATTCAGTGAAATTTTTGGACAGCTTCGTTGAAAAATTTCTCTGTAAAAAAATAAAGCGGTGGAAATTTTTAATTGTCGCATGGCGCTTGCGATACGTTGACCGGGAGGTGACGATATGCCGAACCTTAAAAGAGGACAGATATTTTTTTTCGATCGTCAAACGGGAAAAAAGACTTGTTTTCACATAGAAAAACCTTCTGCAAAACAATTTTTGACGATTTGGCTTAAGAAAAAAAGGAGATGTTAAGATTGAGGTGGAAAACGTGTGGTATCTAAAATGTTTCTGATGTCTTGAGCGAGTGTGGTTCAGTCATTTTTGTATCAATGTAGGGCCTAAAGTTTTAATATATCAGTATTATCCGTAGGCATCCATAAGCATTATCCGCACCCTGGAAAGAGCATATCAGACTATAATGTAACTTTTACTCGAACCTACGTTTTTTGGTAGCAAATTTCAAACTACCTTAAGTTGAGTTTGGTTGGATAATTCCCAAATCTTTTCAAAGAATACTCCGCTATTATTTAATCAATTTTAAAGTCTCATATTGTCTACGGCCCCTGTTTGACAGTCAGGAATAGTTGAAAGCATGGACGAGTTTGGCGATAATGCATTTTGGTGATCATTGGCTTTGACATATTTGTATGAATGCTTGATGCCGTCTTGGATGAATATACAAACACGGAACTAAAAACGCCTCCATATTTTTAACAAGTTAATTTAATTTATTTTCTTTTTTTCGTAAAAATAAACGCATCACGCATTTGAGTCTCGTCAGATCACATCAGCAGGGAATTAAGCGCGCCTTTTAATCGATGGCAATGCAATTTGAGTTACATAGAAGTTAAAATAATTGTATCACCGTTTTGACTTTCAAACGCAAGGCTTTATGAAACAAATTTACGAGGATAACTTTCTTCGGCATTTTGATAACGTTACATGATCCTATAAGCGATCATTTCGTTGTCACCACTCCTTTAGTCAAAGCATCAAGTGAATAGCTATTGTGCACCAACCTCGAAATCTTATTTTATTAAATATACAAATCATTGATAGTTTACTTCAAGTGTCCATGTTCGCGTAATTGAAAGCATGAAGTTAAGTTTATGTGATACCCGTAATAACACGACCCTGAGTTGGACGTATTTCTATCAAACGGAACTATGTGCACTAAGACATGAGCCCTGAGACCCATAAGAATATATGCATCACAGGGCTCATGTCACAGTGCACATAGTTCCGTTTGATAGAAAAACGTCCAGTTCCAAGATTCACGCGAATCATGTTCCGTTCTTACGTTAGTGATAACAGTACATCAGTGTTGGGTTATATGTTCAAATTAACGCAAATTGTCAGATGCTTAGCACGGGATTAAACGTTTGCTCCTCTAATTTATTTGAACAACGAGAAGCAAGGGAGTAGCTGTTTTCCGAGCGTTAAGTTACGTTCAGCGAGTTACGATACGTTTTAAATTGAACCTGCATGTCTCAATTATGGAAGAGATGATCTTTTCATGTGATTCCAAACTGTATCAGATGATTGGGTTACCATCTAAAATGCGATAATTGGTTTATGATATAACCCGAGATACAGAAGTTGTTCTATTTTCGTCCAAAAAAAAAATGATTGTTGCAAGATTTGCTCAATCGGATTCGGTCACATCACGATGTGCCTAGATCAGCTCAAAACGTGAACACTTAGCGATATGCCCAGGTTTCGGAATTCGCCCGTAACATTTCGGAAAGACACCATTTTACAGTGCAGTGAGTGATATGGGGTGGTATGTGTAGATACTCTACGAATGAAAATTGTCAAAAGTCATGTTCAGGATTTTTTTTACGATTATCTGACTAAAAATGCGGCTATGTATCGTAAGCAACATTGAAAGAAATATAGGTAAACACAGTGGCAACATTAGACATAATTTGCGACTAATTAATAATATTATTGAAGTGCGCCAACCCTCCAAATCTATATACTGCAGATGTCAACTTTACTCTTATCTCTTGTTGTACAGCTCTTCGCACAGAGGCATCTTGAAATATCTGTAGAATTCCATCAACTCAAAAAAATATGAGGCCCGAATGTATTATTTTTATTGCTTCGATGTCTTTTTCTACCGCAATACCGCGTCATTAAACGGTGCAGAGAGTGATATGAAATAAAGTGCCTAAACATTTAGTGAGACACTATGATTTATCTCCAAGATTTTACGTAGAAAGCTGTTCTCGCAGCAGGTAGTGCGGAAATCGACTACTGAGCAAGATATGAAAACGTAAACACTGAGTAAACACTTAACACTGAATAAATGAAGCACAAATCGGGAAAATGGCATCCAATGTTTTTTCCATTTTTCTAGTGTTCATTATAAATAATTTCATCTTCTTAACGCATTCATTCTCAAACATTCCGTTTTGTGAATCGTTTTCTACGCAAAATTTTGAAGAAAAAACAAGTAGTGGAGTGCTTTCTTTCGTTCTGTGTTTAGTGCCCCATTAACCTGAAAAGTGTTGGTATACCCAGCTAAGACAAAAATCTTAGTCAATATTGTCACAAAATTGCCTACTTGTTTGGTGTACCTATTCTTTTTCTTTGGGAAATATTGTATGGATGTTTTCAGGTATGATCTTTTCTAATACGATACTTTTGAAAATTTAAACAAGATTATTATAATAACCAGTTCATATTCTTATAAAAGGTATTGTTATCTGAGGCTTAAATAAACACCCAGTAACTGGCATAAAATATTCTCACTGAATATTTTAAATTCATACCGTGGCAAGAATATTCATACGATACTAAATAAATGTGTATAAACACCAGCAAAATGCTTAATAAATATTGATAAATTCCATCATAATAGATAAATTTAATCATTTTAGCGAGCGCTCAATGTTGACAGGATATCAAGTTAATAAATTTAGACTACCGCAAATGTGGACCTTAATATTGCCTAAATGTTCTGTCGTGCTAAGGAAAAACGCCGTATGAGTATTCGAATGTTGCCAAATTGCCTCTCAAGAAATATTCATTTTTGAAGAACGTCATAAACATTATTCCTTGAACATTTTAGGAACGTTGGATCAAATTATGAGCGAAACCCTCCGAAAAATTAGCAAAATAATATGCACACATTTTCCCGGAAACTCGTGATTTATCGAGGAAGGTTTGGCAACGCCTGAGGGTTCATACGGTGTTTTTCCTTAGTACGGCACTACCCTCGTCTTAACCGGGTCAACTTTACGGCTATACAACGCAATTTTGGGGGTTTTCTATACACACGGTGCAACGAAATCACCCCGATATAGGAGTGGTGATCGTGGTAAGCAACTCAAAAACAGGAAATATATCGAAGGCGAACTTACCTGACACAAAAGGCGATCCTGAGTTGACGAACGCCGCGAGCTGAGGGCAGTCGGAACGTCGGAAAAGTAAAATTCATTCACTAGGTCAAAGGTTTTGTTTTTCCGGCGCGGGTCGGTGGCGCGCGCCGAGACACTTGTTTGACGGGGCCCAGTGAACCCGGGGGGCGGGGAGGGGGTACGGGTTCGCGGGGGAGTGGGGGTTCGGGGGCGAGTTATGGAAATCACCAGACCGCGCCACGGGCCGGCAGTTCCCACACAACGATGTCGATTCGGATCGAATATCTTGGATTCATGAAGATTATTTGGACTGCATTTTGCAATTTGGAACTATAAATTCAGGCTCATCTGAAAAATCACTTGTACCCATAGGGAAATTAATGGCACATACGTTGTATTTAAACCGAGCCGGAATTTATAGTTCCTAATTGCAAAATGTAGTCCATTTGGATTGCATTTTGCAAAAAGGAACCACGAGTATTCCAATGACGCCAAGATTGTGCAACTTTTTTACCTTGCAAATATAAACTGATCATTTAAACAAGTTTTATCTTTACTCCCAATAAACTATAAATTCAAAACCAAGATTACCATTGTAGATTTAAATTTTTGCGAGGTTTTAGTAATTTTATTGCAAGGAACGTAAGTTGCACAATGCAATCCATTTAGATTATATGGCTCGCATTTAGCAAAATGAACCGACGCGATTACAGTGTTTTCAAAATCGTGCAACTTCTCCTTTTCTTTTAAAAATACTCAATTTATGCATAATATATTGAAGTTTACACAATCATTTTCCTTCAAAATTGCCAATTATTTGGTGATAAGCAAAAAAATTGCTGTTCTGGGAAATTTTCTAGATGATTTCGATGTGGTCTAGATAGTTTCGTCTTTATAGGACAGATTTCCGGTCACAATATTTCAATAGAACGATTCGATAGTCGACGATAAAGAGAATATTTAGGAATATTTAGAACAATATTTTAAAAGTTCCCGAAAGTCACATCACGCTTTGCAACCACAAACAATGAACATCTTCGAACTATATACTACAAGGTATACCATATTTAAGGGCTCAGTTTCTCTAATAGGCACGTATCAGATCTCTTCTCTCGCGTTTCATTCAAAATACTTAGATCTCAGATTTGAGATACGTATTATGAAATTATTGGTGAATTTTCTAAGCGACTATACGATATTACTTATGAAATGACTTGACTTTCATGCAAAACGAGGCAACTTCATTCACATTGCAAACATCAATCAAACTAGTCTCAGGGTTTACTACTGCACCATTGTGCTGTGCGCAAAGACGGCTGTTCGACAGGAGTGACTGTGGAAATGCGACGAGAATTTATCGCTCTATTTCCTAACAATTTTTGAGATCTCAATCACACATTTCTCTCCCTGTTTACATTGGATCGCGTATTTATTAATCTCGCCTGGCTCTGTAGTAGCCTGATTCCAATTTATTAGAGAAAAATTGCAATAAATTGCATTATTATCGGCAGTGAATGAAGTTTAATGTAGGAAATCACACATCGTGTGTTTGCTTAGGGCTGTCACGGGTAGAGTCCAGTGGTATGGCGTGTTTTGCGGGGTATCGATTGGTCTGCCATTTAAACCTACGGAAAAAGATCGACAGACAGGGTGTTCGCATAACGAGCACCGTAATAATCGATTCTTTACCAGAGCTTCAAATGGGGGAATATCGAAAATCGATCATTCGCGCCTCGTTACTAGTAGGGTCGCATTTTCAGCAAGTAGCAATCTCCCAAATAGGAAGACGAAAATGAAGGAGGAAATTAAAAACAACGTATTTACAAGAGATGAAGATGAATTGAATCGTGTTGAATTGAAAACCATTAATGTCCAATTTACTAATTTTTAAGTTTTATTGTGTTGAAAATACTTTTCAAAAATCGATATGATAATGAAAATGGTGTATGTAGAGGTAGAGGAAAAAGGAGAAACAGGCGAGAGAGAAGAAGAAGAAAGAGGAAGACAAAAAGCAGTTAAAAGACGAGGGAAAATAAATTAATTCCCCGATAGTGCAAGTCGTGCGGCCAAGCATAAAATGCACCGCAGCAGAGCCGTAGCAGCCAAAGTTGAAACGCCTTCAAGTATTGCTGTATGCAACACAGACGGCCACGGAGCAGGAATAGTTGCATCAAGGCGCCTGCCGCATTGCAGTGTTGCCTGCTATGGAGGCCGCGTTGCGTATCATCTAACGTCGGTCAAGTCTGAGGAATGTGTCTTCAAGTACGAATGTGCAGCATATTTTGACACATATAAAATCGCATGTGGACCAAATTTTGAAACAAATAACCGAATCACATCAAGTCTTAACGGCGAAAAGGGGATTTAAAGTTTTCTTATTTGATAGTTCTTTCTCTTTTTCTTATTCGTCCCCCTTTCCTCTTTCCTTTGCTTCACCATATTTTTGCATTATTTTTTCTTTTCTTTCTCATATTTATCTTCTCTTCCTACTAAATATTACTCTGCCTTTTCGTCATTTTTTCCTCATTTCTGATGCAGCCTTTGCTACGGGCTGATTGTTGAAATTGGTAGACAAAGCAATAGACATATAAGACAATAGGGATATGAAGAGATCCTATCGGTGGAAGTGTGTGGTTGAAATGGACAGAAAAGGTAGGTAACAGACTAACTAATGGCAACTAAAGGGAGACCCGATTGTAGTTAGTCCATATTTTTCTCCCTTAGTTTGTAGGAACCACCCATTTCAATCAATAGGATCGCTCTATACTCCCTACGACTTCTTTGTCTATAGCTTTGTCTATCAATTTCAACAATCAGCCGGCTGGCAAAATTTAAGGAGTTTTAAGACCCGCGTTTGTCGTACTGGGGTTTAGCGAGGATTCACCGACTGATAAAAGATCGACGACTTACAGCACACATACACACCCTTAAACGGCATGGGTATACCATATCGGGAGCATGGGGGAGTGGTCTTACGGGGTCGGGGTTGGGCAGACGCAAACAGAATTTATTATTGACGTAATGCCAATACTATGATGCTAATAATTTTTCTTCGGTTGAGCCAGAACCCACCCTCGGTTCGCCGACCTCGCCCAACAGTTTTGCACGAAACAAAGGCTATCAAGCATCTTTGCAACCGTTCAAGTAAATAGACGTGTGTGTGTGTTTAGTCATCGATTCAAGATTGTGCATTTATCCCTTCATAGAGTATGAAATGAACGGCCCATAGGATCAGCCCGTGTACATTCCAGTGGCGTGGCGTGTTTTGCGATGGATCGATTGATCTGTCATTTAAACCTGTGGAAAAGTATCGATACAAAGGGTGTTCGCAACGGACACTTTCATAATCGATTCTTTACCATAGCTTCAAATGAGTAAATATCTATAATCGATCACTCACGCCTCGCCACTACTATATTCAGATAGAATGAAGCATCGAAAACTGAAAATCGATATTTTCGACCAAATTTTTCCCTGTCCTGATGAGCATAGTTGCCCCCTACCTCATGTGGCCGGTTTGCCTAACTTCACAATTTATTTTTTACAAAAAAAAATCAATCTCTGGCTCATTCATGAAAGAGCTTGCCTACATACGAAAACTATTGATGCATGTGTGTTTAAGGAACAAGTCGACGGTGCAAGTCGGCAATCACATAACTCGGTTTGCGACGTCGCAGACTTCCTGTCATACTTTAGTTTTTAAATGGAAAACTACTCGACGGCAATTCTTTAAAACTGTCATGATTTTTCTTCTCAATTCGGAGAAAATTCCTCAAAAACTTCAAGAAATAATGTCAATTTGTTCTTCTTTAAAAAAATGACGTACAAGCGGAGATTTTCAGACACCGCAAACGAGTCATGTGATTGCTGACTTTCACCGTCGAAGTGTGTTTTGTCATCAAATCAAAGTCATCACGAATCGTCACCTTCTGGCTAAAGTATCACAAGCTCCATGCGACGTTTAAAAATTTCCACCGTCATTTTATTTTCTTACAAGGAAATTATTGTTTGAATCTGTGTGAAAATTTCACTAAATTTTATCGGCAATACAAGGAAAATTCAGTGAAATGCTCGGACTGCTTCGTTGAACAATTTCTCTGTAAGGAAATAAAATGACGGCGGAAATTTTGAAACGTCGCATGGCACTTGTGATACTTTTGCCGGAAGGTGACGGAATAACGATTTATTTTTTTTATATTTAAAGGGACTAAAGTGTTGCCAACTTTCGAGGGTCACTTATATCAGGAAAACAGGCAAAGAGTAAGTCACGATGGAAGCCTATAGCATTAAAAATTCGGGCTTGAACTATATACATAATAAAACAGCATGATGGCTCCTTGGCCTTGGAGTCGCTTGACAATCGTTTCGAGAGAGCAATCGAAGCGGGAGGGCTGAAGAGAGAGGACTCCAGGAGCGAAAAGCTCCGGCGATCCACCACGAATGGAGAGTAAGAGAGGGAAATAAAGGAGGAAACATTTACCACTTGGTGCTAGGAACGAATGTGCGTGGTATGCAACGCTAACACGCAACTGATCCCCTGTGACGTCACGCCCCACGAATAAGCTGCGTTCCGGGAGCCTTTCGACGGTGAAACTACCAAACCACGTATCTCGGTTTGCGACGTCGCAGACTTCCTGTCATACTTTATTTTTTAAATGAAAAACTACTCAACATCCAGTCTTGAAAATTTCTGTGATTTTTCCTCTTCGTGCGGAGAAAATTCCGTGAAAATTTCAAAGAATGATATTGATTTGGTCTACTTCAAAAAAATAAAATGTGAGCGTAGATTTTTAAACACCGCAAACGAGATACGTGGTTTGGTAGTTTCACCGTCGCTTTGCTCTCGTGTCAACCACGAGTTATATTTTAGTTTGGACATTTTTATTCGCTCATTTTTACTCAGATTCTGCTGTGCTTTTATGGGTCTTTGGCCCTTGAATTCCACATCTAGGCAAACCGAGAGATTGAAAATAACTGTAGCGTCATTTTGTCACAGTCACAGATGTAAGCTGCCGTGCGGAGGAAAACCGCCATATGAACCTTCAGGCGTTGCCGAATTTTCTT